ATTCAGGATCACATTTTTTAAATATTACCCTTCATGCAAGAAATACAACAACAAAAACACAGGGACGATTGTTACTGATTATTGATCCATCAGTAATAACGTATTTGTTAAGACAATTGACAGAAGACTGATAGATATCATTTAATACCCGTGACTCATATACAGGATATATTAACTGAAGAAAAGTACTTGCCTGTTCCTCTAGTCATTCTGCTGAACTCAGAATACTTCCGTTTTGATTGACTCTTTATGTTCTTCCACTTTTTCTCTACCTCTTCTTTAGATCTGGGATGCAGACCAGCGGAGTTGATGGTTGCTGTAATAACCTGTTGAGTTGAATGAAAACTGTCAACCTTTATTATGATATACATATGTTACTATCTGCTTATGAATTACTATGTCATGACCATAACTTGTTAGAAATCAACTATATGTATTATGATTGTGGACAAATAAGAGGCAGAGCATTTGGGAGAAAGGATACTTTTATCAAAAGTTGGATTTCCTATTTTTTTAATTTTCCATATATTCTTGAAATCAATTGTTCTAAAGTTGATTACACTTATGATGATAATTCCTTTAATAGATATCACTCAAAGCTTTCATATTTAGTCATATATTTATAAACTAGGATTTCCTAAAAAAAATTATAAAGTAGGATTTCCTATTTTTTAAAATTTTCCATTGTTAGTAAACAAAACACAGGAAATTTTACAAATATTCCTGACACTACATGCTGTAGCCTCATCAAACTATCTATTTGTATGAGGTCATGTTCGCTTAAAAAACTTTTTCGTTCATACATGTTTCTTTCCTTCGTCGTGTGACCTCGGCTAATCATCACCTACACTCACTACATTTTTCCAGTGTTTGATGCATTTTGGGCTGTTTCATAGGCGTACCATTGCAATTCAGAAAAGAGAACAGAAAATCGTACTTATTCAAAACAAATAAAAACTATGTGGGGCACGTAGTCTAAGACATTTCTGTATTCTTGACTACACCTTGACAGTCGGACCCAATGTTTACATTACCTGCCACGCCTCTTGCCGCTTCGCCGACGTCACGCCCGGAGGTTCACACCCATAACCCCTACATGCCACTACCCCTACACTCCAGTACCCCTACAGCTAGTTAAAACAACACCTAGCATTTACCTGTCTGATATAATAGACTAATCCTAAAGAGGGATTAGTGCATGGAGCATAGATGAGATCAAGGGATGCATAAATGTGATTAGTCTTTTGTGGCAAGGAAATTAGTGGTCTCATGATGAAAACAAACCTCAACCCTGAGTAGAAGAAACATACAATTGGAAAAGTGTTGTGATTGCTAAATGTTGTTAAGAAAAGTTGTTATAGTGCACTTTAATGTTACATATATTACAATGTTGAGAAGTTGAGAGAAATAAAACGTGGAGATGATACAGGAAATTGAGATTGTTCCATACAGTATATAAGTGCTGACATGAAACAAACATGGCATCAACATGGCTGGTCTTCGCAATGTTGAGTTTGTTATGTCACGGAGAGGTAGCCGTCAAGTTCTGTTGGATGGATATCTTCACACTAAGAATGTTGAGCGACAGACCTGTGTACACTGGAAGTGTGTGCAGTCAACATGCAAAGGAAGAGTCACAACTGTTGGCGATGTGGTAAGAAATACGACTGAACACAATCACCCACCAGAGGATAGCCAGAAGGTCCGGTTTGTCAGCAACCTGAGGAAGAGAGCCAGGGAGGAGTCAATACCGATGCGCACCATCTACAACAACGAGCTTACCAACCTGACTGATGACGAGACACGTACCATGCCCTCCTTTCAGCAGCTGGACTACCTCTACTTCCTCAAGCCGCGGTCCAAGACACTTGGATTGAAGCCATGGATGACACTCCTGACGTCCCAAGAGCTGGCGACTTCAACGACTACATCGTGACAACATGGGTCGACGACACTGCCAGATTTTTTCTTCACCTGTGGAACCACAACTTGACAGCTGGGCCGAGGACAAACAACAACCTGGAAGGATTCCACAACCGTTTGAATCGAGAAATTCCACACAGGCACCCGAACATCTACAGATTTGTAGAAGTCATCAGGAGAGTCGAACACGCCGAGAGAGTGAGGATTGCTCAGATTGACTTTGGTGCTGCGCCAACAAACAGAAAACGAGTGTACAGAGAGATCGACAACCGTCTGTGCAGACTCAAGGAACAGCTTCAGCGTGGACAGAAATCCCCTCTTCAGTTTCTTGACGCCGTCGGCTACCTGCTCAAGCTTGGATAGACTGTAACACTGACACTTGAACACTTGTGATAATGTAATAATGTGGTCTTTCTCTCATCCTGATATGTTGATATGAAACACTTGTGATAATGTGATCTTTTGTTCATCCTTATATGATGATATGAAAACACTGAATGTAAATAGACTGAAAAACTTGACAATTATTGATCTCAATGTGTGATGTATTAAGGTCACACTTTTGATAATGTAATAATTTGGTTTTTCTCTTATCCTGATGTGATATGAGATGAGATGATTAAAACACTGAATGTAAATAGACTGAAAAACTTGACAATTGATCTCAATGATGTGGTACTTTGTGATAACACATGTATTAAAGTCACTTTTAAAATCTGTCTTGTGTCATGTTGTGCATCTTAAGTGGACCAGTCCACTGTATGGAATAGGTAACAGGCAGGAGATTAGTTATGCAACAGACCATAAACTATGTTGTTATAAGCTGTAGGGGTAGTGGCATGTAGGGGTAATGGGAGGTTACCCGCCCGGACCAAACTTCCCCTTCCAATACTCTGGCGTTTGTTTTCACGAGTTCTGTCAAAAGCAGGACCCCGTCTTTAGTCCAATTAGGGTTTCTCTTCTTTATCTCAGACTCCGACATATTTATCACAATGTATTACCGCGGTATCTCAATGTGTCGTCTGCCGTAAATAGCAAAAGGGAGATCCCAACGAAAGCCATTTTCACACCTTTTTTATAAAAGAGTTCCGCCGGAAGTCTAAAAATAACTCGGATTCACCCTAGTGATCACGCGGGTATGCACTACGAAAAACACTTAGTTTTTCTTTGGAAACTTAGCTAAGTTTCTGACTTAGTAGCTTTATGAATAGCATCTTATGTCTCAGACTTAGCTAAGTCAGTTTTAAAAAACTTAAGTTTGGACTTAGGAAAAATCTTAGTTTCTTTATGAATACCGCCCCAGGTGGTTAGACTCGCTGACTTGGTTGACACGTGTGATCGTATGCCAATTGCGTAGATGTTCATGTTGATCACCGGATTGTCTGGTCCAAACTCGAGTATTTCCAAATTGCTGCCATATAGCTGGAATATTGCTGAGTATGGCGTTAAACAAAACCAAAAAAAAGCATTCGCTCACATTTTCTAAATTTTAAAGATATGACGATCGTAGACTGACAGCGTCTTTCACAAAATTTGCCAGGTTTTTAAACAGTAAGACATCAGAGAATTGTAGCATTCTTACAAGAGTCTCTCTGTGACTGATAGTGTCCACGTGTAAATAAGAAAAATATTTAAGACGCATATCATGATGAATAGGACAAACAAAAATAAAATGAATTTCATTTTCAATAGCATTTAAATTAAATAGTGGGCAAAAACGGATGATACTCTGCCTCCTTCCTGTACTTTGCATTATATCGAGTTCGCCAATTCTGAACAAGGTAAGCATGCGTGCGTATTAACTGCTTAGGTATAGCTCGGGAAGGAGGGACACTTTGAACTCTGCATAAAAATTTAGTGTGGAACAGTTTGACACCTCAGCATACCATGCTTGTGTATAACAATCTTTAATCCTAGCGTAAATTCATTTATAAAGCAACCCACATCACCAACACCTTGACATTGCCAAACTATTCCAAAACCTGGTGAATACAATAGATGCTTAATATGAGTAACCCAAGTTTCCCTTCCAGCTGCATCTAAACCTACTAACATACTATAACACTGTTTGGGGTACCAGTTTTGAGACATATATTAAGAAGTTTGAACCAGTATATTATACATCTGACATATGTATCTACGTAAATACCATAACGGCCACATTCCCCAAATACAGCAACATTGGTAGATTTGGAGCCAACCACCAAAACAAATTTACAAAATTTAGCTTGAAGCGTTCAAGAAACAACCACTGCTGGACACTCCAAATCTCACCGAATTATTGGTTTAATTTGTGAATCAAACATTTTAAACAGAACCTTTGGAGAAATATTACGAAGTTTATAACTTAGTTGATGAATGGAAACCACATTGCACCCATGGATTCGATCCTGGGTTTGCCGCATGACGAGCGAACGCTTTAACCATTAGGCTACCCCCACTGCCCCTCAATACGCAGTAAAGCCAAAGCATTTAAACCATCAGCTTTGCGTGGATTGTAAAACAACTTCATTTCGAAATACTTAAAACGTATCACATGTTAGATGTATCTCATCGTGTTGTACAAGGTTATCAACACTGAATGTTTGATGTCTGGGTTTCAAAATTTTTAACCAATATCACATGATAGACGCATTTTATAATGTCTATTAAGGTTATTAAGAGGGAACGCTTGATATTTGTTTTTTTTCTTCTAAAATTCACATTTTGGTTCTTTCGAAACAGGGATAACTCGAACGTTTCCTCAGGTCTCTACGAGTTCGACACAGCTAGGTTTGAATGTATGCTTGGTTTGTACCTATACACTGTAATTATTCAGTCATGTACAGAAAGGGGATATCATTAAGGTCATGTGATACTTTAGGTCTTCCAATCTCTGTCAATGCCTCGCTGACCACCTTTAAAACATAAATCCAGGGGTATAAACAGCCCATTCACCATGGGATATTGCTATACGTGGCTAAAAACCATTCTCACTCACTCATACTCGCAATCTCATTCACTCACATGTATATTTTCACCGAACTGACAGGAAAATACGTACACACGTACATTTATATCACAAAACGCCAATTCACTTCCCGGAATGAGTATAGTCAGTCGCCAATGCGAGGGTTGAGTAGTGCGAGAGCTGCACTCTCGTCCGTGCCGCCGAACACAAAGTTCTCAAACAAACTGGTTCGAGAAACGAGATGGCACCTGTCGTGGCACTGTTCTTCATCTGGGCTCAGTTGGACACTATTGCCGGTAAGTAACTCCATACATAAACACACACTGTGTGTCGAGTTCTTGCAAAGGCAAACTGCATGTTTCAAGTGTATGGATCATGTTTCCTAATGGAGCCTTTCCTTGTTAAAGAAATTTTCCCACGGTGATTTGGGGACCTTCAGTTTATATTTGATATCTTTTTCTTGTGTTTGATATTTCGGGGGAAAGAATATTTTTCTGTCACTACTTTAAGATCTGCTTTTATCGCACATGGTATTTTTTACTTCTTGACATCAGCACGTGCACAAAACAGATACTCTAACTGAAATAAGCTACCAAACATGTGAGCACTCCCAATACACTTTTGAACTTGATGTCAATTTCCATTGCCTACTTGGATGATAATCTTCAGAAAATTACTATCAGATAAGAAAGGTGCAACAAGTGCTTTTATTTTATCTTGAATGCATGTGATACTCGCCTTTAATTTAAATTCTGTGAGGGTAATGTGTTCTCTGTGCTGGACTGGGGAAATATTTGTCAACCCACTTACAACTACTTCAGATATGAAATTAAAATAGTTTCATCTCAGAATTATTCACAGGATCATTTTTAAGTCAGTTTTATATTATATCACTTTAACGGATAGTAATTTATATTCATTTTGTCAAAGTGAAATTTGAACCTTACTATATTCTGTTGTTTTTAAAGCAGTATATATAAGAGTTTATACATAAAGTAACACAATTTAGTATTGTTTTCAAAACATTACATTTGTAAATGCAATTAAGCCAAAAGCAGATTAGGTTAAACTTATCCAAAGATTCCGTTTATATAAAGTATAATTTAAATTTTGTTACTTTAAACAGTATACCCACAGCAGGTAAATCATTAAAAGAAATATTTCTCATAGCAAACTGTACCAAGATAAATTCTTTATCAAGTGGATGTTGTACCATGCACCAGTAGATAGGATTATTTCTGGAGCTCAGCAATCTTTATTTAATATGGTCAAATATTCTTGTTTATATAAATGTATGGTTTGATGTCACTATTTAAAACCTTTTCATTAGCTAATACGGAATAAGAGTGAATGAGAGTCATATTTAACAAATATCTGAATCCATAACATCTATACATCTAATATGAATAAAAAACTAACAGAATTAGCAAGCATGATAATAGCATTTCGAACTCATTTAATAAGTCTGCATGTGTTTTCGAAAGTTGTCTGTATATCGTTTAATATTTGGGCCAAGTACTGCTCTGGAAGTCTTGGTCTTGTCTCTAACAGGAACAGAAATGAAACATTTATTACAAAAAAATACTTGCACTCTCAACGACCGTTCAATTTTGTTTTTCAGGGACATCGCTTAAATTGACCCAGACGCAAACTCAAGCCTTCTTGGGACAGTCGTTGCAATTTAAGTGCGACGTCACGACGACCAGCAAAACGGGAGCCTTGCTGTTCGAAAGGAACACGTACGTGAAATGTTCGGTAAAGAGAGATGACTGTACCCAATACACGTCAGACTCGTTGTCCCAGACACAGTACACCTGCGGGTGTGGTCAACAGGGTGACGGCAACTACGTCTACTTCCTCAACGCCTCCTCCTTACATGCTGACGTTGTTGGGGACTGGAGATGCGAATATCAAATGTTCAGCAACACCATCCGTGTCAACCTGACGGGTAAATATTGACACCTACACTTGTATCATATCTAAACGAAAACATCACTTCCTCGTTACCGCTGAAACATCTCTACAACGCAGGTGTGATTTGTGGTTAGGAATATTAGCACATGGTCAGGAGTTGACATGGCCAGGAGTCGGTGTGGCATGGGGAGGTACTTCCTGGCTGCAGGCGCGCGGTAGGGTAGCCTAGTGGTAAAAGCGTTCGTTCGTCACGCGTGAGACACGGGTTCGATTCCCCACATGAGTACACTGTGTGAAGCCCATTTCTGTGTTCCCCCGCCTCGATATTCCTGTAATATGGTTAAGAGCGGCGTAAAACAACACTCACTCACGCATGACTGCATTAGGCACTGCTCTGCTACTTTTCACTTGTAAAGCAGTACGAGTGAGTGAGTGAATATGTTTTTACGACGCTTTTTGCAATATTCCAGCAACTTCACGGCGGAGGACACCAGAAATGGGCTTCACACAGTGTACCCATGTTGGGAATCGAACCCGGGTCTTCAGCGTGACGAGCGGACGCTTTAACCACTGGGCTACCCCACCGCCCCTGAAACTGTTGATCACTGGGACTGTGGTCCAGACACGATTATTTACAGACCGCCGCCACACAGCTGGAATATTTCTAAGTGCGGCGTAAAACTTAAACTCACTCACTTGGGAAATTTATGGGGTTTCTTTATTTTTTTCAATTAAAGAATGAGTGATGTTATCACACGAACATCAGAGGAATCCAGTAGCAAGCTGTGTTCATATATTAAGTCATGTTTAATGAGTCACATGATTAAATATTTTCCCAGACTCGGAGGGTCCAACAGAGATGTCATTGGACAAGACAGAAGTGTCGACCAAGGAGGGAGACAGTGTCAACCTGACCTGCTCGGCCAACTGTCTCCCAGACTGTCGGTACAGCTGGACCAAGGGTGGACAGGACCTGACCAGTCAGACCAGGGAGATTCGGGGTCAAGTCCTGGCTCTGAACAGGGTGGTGGGCGACGACAGCGGCAACTACACCTGCACAGCCGTCAACCCTTCTTCAAACAAAGCCAGCAACGTCTCCATGAACCTTCACGTTCTGAGTAAGTATGTTCGTTTTGCTTCTTTTGTAAAAGCCCATGGGTATTCTAGGCATGCGTTTGGAATCTTTCAGTGATCTTTTGTTTACTGATTCTGGAAAGGGGTTTGTCGCTTTTATTTCGCGAGGTATGATAAATCCTCAGTAACTTGATATCAAGGTCACGTGATATCAAGGATGTGCTTGAGCTCTGCCTGGAATTAATTAGATAGCCTCCGGACTGGTCGACACGGAGTATGCTGTGAGTGGGTGTTGGTGTTAAACCTGCGTCGTTCGTTTTGAAATATTCTGTCTCACTAGAGTAGGACTAGTTGAAGCTCTACACGAATACACGTACAAGCGCCCACAGTTAAATAAACGTGGAGACACAAATATACACACATTCAGGGCTTGCCCCCGGTTTTATTAGTGCAATGATCGCGACGTGTATATCCATCCATTGCACCTCAGTGCCCGTGCTCATCTTAAGAACCCGTGAATATCCGGGTTGGAATAGGACTTCAGCAACCCGGGCTTGTTAAGGCGACAAACGGGATCGGGTGGTCAGGCTCTCTGACTTGGTTGACATTTGCTGTTGATCACTGGATTGTTTGGTCCAAAACTGATTATTTACAGACCGCTGTCACATAGCACATAAGCCACATCCGTGTTGTTAAGTCACACCATTGTTGTTGAGTTACACCCATGTTGTTAAGTCTCACCAGTGTTGTTCAGTCACAATAGTATTAAGTCACACCATTGTTGTTCAGTCACACCATTGTTGTTGAGTTACACCCATGTTGTTAAGTCACACAAGTGTTGTTGAGTCACGCATTGTGTTAAGTCACACAACATTGTTGTACAGTCACACCATTGTTGTTGTTCTTAGTCACACCATTGTTGTTGAGTTACACCCATGTTGTTAAGTTACACAGTCACAATCGTATGTTAAGTCACACCATTGTTGTTGTCACATTGTTGTTAAGTCACACCATTGTTGTTGAGTTGAGTCAGTCACAATCATTGTTGTTAAGTTACACCCGTGTTGTTAAGTCACACCATTGTTGTTGAGTTACACCCATGTTGTTAAGTCACACCAGTGTTGTACAGTCACAATCGTGTGTTAAGTCACATCATTGTTGTTAAGCTACACCATAGTTGTTGAGTCACACCATTGTTGTTGAGTTACACCCATGTTGTTAAGTCACACCAGTGTTGTACAGTCACAATCGTATTGTTAAGACACACCATTGTTGTTGAGTCACATTATTGTTGTTGAGCTACACCATAGTTGTTAAGTCACACCATTGTTATTGAGACACATTATTGTTGTTGAGCTACACCATAGTTGTTGAGTCACACCATTGTTGTTGAGTCACACCATTGTTGTTGAGTTACACCCATTGTTGTTGAGTCACCATTGTTGTTGAGTCACACCATTGTTGAGAGTTACACCCATGTTGTTAAGTCACCCAGTGTTGTTGTCACAATCGTATGTTACACCAGTGTTGTACAGTCACAATCGTATTGTTAAGTTGTTAAGCTACACCATAGTTGTTGACACGCCATTGTTGTTGAAGTCACACCATTGTTGTTAAGTCACACATAGTTGTTGAGTCACACCATTGTTGTTGAGTTACACCCATTGTTGTTGAGTTACACCAGTGTTTGTTTGTTAAGTCACACCATTGTTGTACAGTCACAATCGTATTGTTAATTGTTGTTGAGTGTTGTTGAGTCACACCATTGTTGTTGAGACACATTATTGTTGTTGAGCTATACCATAGTTGTTGAGTCACACCATTGTTGTTGAGACACATTATTGTTGTTGAGCTACACCATAGTTGTTAAGTCACACCATTGTTGTTGAGTCACACCAATGTTGTTAAGTCACACCATTGTTGTCGAGTCACACCATTGTTGTTGAGTTACACCCATGTTGTTAAGTCACACCAGTGTTGTACAGTCACAATCGTATTGTTAAGACACACCATTGTTGTTGAGTCACACCATTGTTGTTGAGACTCATTATTGTTGTTGAGCTACACCATAGTTGTTGAGTCACACCATTGTTGTTAAGTCACACAAGTGTTGTTGAGTCACACCATTGTTGTTGAGTCACACCATTGTTGTTGAGTCACAAACGTGTTATTGAGTCACACCATTGTTGTTGAGTCATGCCATTGTTGTTGAGTCACATCATTGCTGTTGAGTCACACCATTGTTGTTAAGTCACACAAGTGTTGTTGAGTCACACCATTGTTGTTGAGTCACATCATTGTTGTTAAGTCACACAAGTGTTGTTGAGTCATGCCATTGTTGTTAAGCCACATCATTGTTCTTAAGACCACCACTGTTGTTGAGTCACACCATTGTTGTTGAGTCACACCATTGTTGTTGAGTCACACCATGGCTGTTAAGTCACACCATTGTTAAGTCACACAAGTGCTGTTGAGTCACACCATTGTTGTTGAGTCAAACCATTGTGGTTGAGTTACACCATTGTTGTTGAGACACACCATTGTGGTTGAGTTACACCATTGTTGTTGAGACACATCATTGTTGTTAAGCAGCAGCCGCGTTGTTAAATCATTCACTTTTAATGAAGGTTTTGAGGTTACAATCTCCTCAGATCGTTAAGTAATTTTATTTTGGACTACAGTGCGCTTTTATTTATAATATAATTACATAATAGGACTGCAAGCACAGCCTGCCAAGAGACGTCTTGGCTCCGTTTCAGTTTGTAATCTAAGTACAGGCCACGTTTTACAATTGAATGGATTTGATGCAGCTATCCTGTACGCTTCCGTCGACGTTCTGGAGATGAGAGAAGAGTCCCATATGTACACGTAGAGAAAATGTGTCACAAGACCTACACTGAGGGAGTTTAAACCCCTTGTAGCCATTCATATCCATAATTACTGAACGCTCTGAACCGAACTTGGAGCCGAACTTGGAGCCAGGCGACCTATCAGATATCCGTTGCTATCCCACTATCTAGGTGGCATGTTCGACGTTACTGGGATTTGACGGTCTACTGGCCGGACGAGTCAATTTCTTTTGTTCGTGACTGAATGCTGAGCTCGTATTTGACGCTGAAGATACACTGTATATCCACAGCAGAATATCCTGGCTTGGGTTCATTGGTGGTATAGGGGTGCCTCACACATGACTCTAAACTTGACCTTCTGTTGTTCCTGGCGTCGTTGTACAAAGCAACCTTATCAGGGGCGTAGCTACCATTATCAAAAATGCCTGGGCTTACTCATGATTAATGTTAAAAAGGTTGGGAAAGCCCTCAATACTATTTAAATCTAAAGCTTGGCAGTCTATCTGGCTTACACGGAAAATGTGGCTTGCTACGCACATGACAGTCGTTAGTTTATGTTTGGGTATGGGAGTTACCTCACTTTAGCCCTAAGTTCGCTTTGTACAGCTCCACCCACACAAACTCTAAACGGACATCCTAGACAGGGTTGTTGTACCACATTTCGATGACGATCCTCTCAACACAAGGCCGGTCTTCATGGACGACAAGGCGAAGCCGCACCGTGTCCGTGCCATGATATCACGTGCCTCAACTCCCCTTGGCCTAATCCTAGATCCCAGTCCAATTGAAAATGACCGCAATTGTTAATGTCATAGGACCATAATTATCAGCACTGCAAAATGAGTCAATTTTCTGTCATGTTTGCTTCTGAATGAACCAACGTTTTTGGTTCTCTTTGCGTTTAGATCTGCCGTTTAATTATTCCCTGAGGGTCTATATATCGAGATACTAAGTTAAATTGAGGTTTAAATTGCTATTGTTAATTTTAACATGTCGGTTCTATGCAAAATATATGGTGTTGCGATACTTTTTTCCTTGTGTATACAAAGAACTGGACTCGTGAAGGCTTGGTCACAAATGCTGATTTTCTTTCTTCAATCTGTAACACATGTCATCGGTTCCCAATTGCGCAGGTCGATGCTCATGCTGTTGATCACTGGATTGTCTGGTCCAGACTCGATTATTTCGAGTGCGGCGTAAAACTAACCTCACCCACTCTTCAATCTGTAGTGTTATGCCAATATAAATATCGCCAATACGCTGCTATGCTGGGATAAGGACATCGTTTTATCACCATCAGTTACGGTCACGGGATCGTCGCGTGTTACCGTCACCGGGTAACTGGGTAACCTACCTCTCACGACTGTAACAGCAAATTATCACCATTGGTTAAGCCATTGAGATTCGGCTGCTGTACTTGTCTGTTGTATACGGGTCCTGACTTTGTATTGTCTGACGACAACAACCCAAGGGTCGTGCAACTGCTGCTACGGATTGTCCAACGTTAAACCTTTGAACAGTTGACGTTAAGCAACGTTGAGCGCGGAGAGTCCTTGGATGGGTGACCGTGTTCGGTAGCTTGACTCCTGAGAGTTTCTAGGACTTCACTTCTGTCCCACAACGAAGCACATGTGACACATGTGGTCTCACCTTAGGCAAGTGAGTTTGTTCAAACTTGCTTCTGTTCACCCAGCGCTTTGAGCCTGATAGTCATCCTGGAATGGCGCTATGAAAGTAGACTGTTATAACCCACCCTAGGCACGCTCACATTGTTGATTTGTTAGTCGCAGCACTCTCGCTTTTTGATTATATTCAAAATGAGCAATGCCTGCTTTCCAGTATATGTAAATAAAGAGTGAGTGAGTGAGTGAGTGAGTGGGTTTTACGCCGCTTTTAGCAATATTCAAGCAATATCACGGCGGGGGACACCAGAAATGGGCTTCACACAATGTGCCCATGTGGGGAATCGAACCCGGGCCTTCAGCGTGACGAGCGAAGGCTTTAACCACTAGGCTACCCCACCGCCCCTTGTAAATAAAGAACATATAAACACCATAAATATATTTAAAAGTGGTTTGACTGTAGTATATGTTGTTTAATCGAATATAATCCCGAAACAACCGGTGTGTACTTTCTTTTGTATACCGGTATATTTGTGGATGTCCATCACCACAGCAACGACAAAAGAGGACGGTGTGCTACTGTGGCGACGTTTCTGTTGAATATCCATGTGTACATATGTGTTTTGTGTGCCACAACAGAGACATAAATTCCATTTCCTTCGACCTACTTATGAAATAGCTTCCTTGTGCTGTAAAAAGGTGACGGCAAGCCTGTCCCATTCTCTCCTACATAGTTGTTGCCTGGTAACATATATTTACCCGTAACATATTCATTGTAGCTTCCTCAGTATATATAATTGTTTATAATTAACTCTTCTGTTTTTTCCTGGTTGTCACAAGTTTCCTGTAACCAGAAAGTGAGTGAGTGAGGGGGTGAATCCAGTTTAACGTCGCGCTCAGCAATATTCCAGCTATATGGCGGCGGTCTGTGCATAATCGACTGTGGACCAGACAATCCAGTGATCAGCAGCTTGAGTATCGATCTAAGCAGCTCATGCTGTTGATCACTGGATTGTCTACCAGAAAGAACATTCTGTGCGTCTAGTGTATATTACTACTCTTTACGTGACTTGTAATGACGTAAATGCGGTCTAGGTGTATCACACAAAGTAAACGAACGCATATAATGCCTTAGATGCACCTGAATCCCACATATTGGATTAATCTATATCGGAGCTAGTTTCACTCGTCTACGTGACGATCACGTTACAAAACGCAGTCGTTACCCTTATCTATCTGTTGTACTATCAATAACAAATATCATGTGACGTTGCGTCACTTACGTGTTCCCGGCATGAAGTAAACATCATCCTCATTTATCCAGTGCATTATATCTTCATTATGTGACGCAGGGGTGGATCTTTAGGCACCGCCATTCGTTGCGCGGAGTAGTGAGTGAGTGAGTGAGTGTGGTTTTACGCCGCTTTTAGCAATATTCCAGCAATATCACGGTGGGGACACCAGAAATGGGCTTCACACATTGTACCCATGTTGGGAATCGAACCCGGGTCTTCGACGTGACGAGCGAACACTTTAACCACTAGGCTACCCCACCGCCCTCACCGGAATGGTAAACGTCACTCACTCACTCACTCCATGTCTTCATACCACAGGAACCTGGCACCCTGATATAACTAGCATGCTGATAAAATCCCACACACTCCATTCTAATATATTCCCTGAACACATTCAGAGCCACAACCGTGATAAGTAACTCTGACGTCAGTTCCGACAGAATAGAGAAAACACCCTGGAATATCGAGGATGGTATTAGACCCCACGTTTAGTAATCGGAGCTTACAAAAGTGACAGAAAAAAAGGAAATAAGACAATAAAAACAGAAGTGTACTTTCTTTTGTACGTCAGTTTATTATATAAATGATTTAGAAACTCACAGAAGCATATGTTTCTCGAGCCAGCATGCTTGCCGAGCGTTCAGTGAGTTGGCAAACATTAGCCTCAGTGATCTTATCCTAGTGAGGTCTGGCGATGAGGCTTTTTAATCGTTCCGTACAAGATTATTGCTCCGCTTTGCTGCTTTGCATGCAGGGGGCCAAGTCTCAAATTACCACTCCTCACAATCTGTTGCCTTTGATTAGAATTAAAGCCTGTTATTCAGGGAAGCAACTAGGCTACATTTAAGTGGCTGCAAAACCCTTTGTGCGAAAGTCTCCAATCCCCCGCTAAATCACCGTCCCATCCCATTCACCGGAAACAAACATTCAGATTAGGTCCATTTAAACGCTATGACCTGCATTTTACGTAAAAAATTATCTATAGCAAATAATAAAGAAAGTTATCAAAATAACCCTAAATAAAGCACATTGCATGAAATTTGATGTCACGTATCGGGTATGTGCACAGTGAACTCACTCACTTTTTGCAAGCTTTTGTTTACATCTGAAGTTCACACATCTGATATAAAAGATTGAAGTACGGTTGATAATTCTCTCTTGCCTTTGAATGTTGTGGAAAACACATTAATTTCAACCTAAATGGACGTACGGCATGCCACGGCTTGCATAAAATCAGCGTCTCCGCACCGTTGCTATTCTGGAGACTGGAATGGCCCAAAATGACGAGGCCAGACATTTTGGTGTCCATCGAAATACGATCTCATCTCTATGGAGACGTTTCCAACATAATGGAAACACGAGAAATTTGCCTCGGACCTGCCGTCCACGGGAGACGTCACGTCAGCAAGACAACCACATTCGGCTGACCCATCTAAGGAATCGCTTCCATACTGACATTTTGACTGCTCGGACCATTCCTGGCTTACGCCGAATCAGTCCCAGAACTATACGGAACGGACTAGGGGAGGACAACGTACGGCCCTGGCGGCCTGCAATACGTCTAATTTTGTTCCAACGTCACCGACAGGCACGTCTTGCCATCTACAGCATCAACAGTACACGAGACAAGATTGGGGTGGTGTTTTGTCTACTGACGAGTTGATATTTCATCTTGACAGCTCAGATGGCAGCGCGAGGGTGTGCAGATGGTGAGGTGAACGGTATGCTGACCCGTGCGTTGTTCTACGTCGACAGTATGGTGGCGAAAGCGTTATGGTATGGGGAAACATCACATCTCATGGTCGGACACAAAATGTCATTGTCAATGGCAATCTGACAGGTCTGCGATACAGGGATGAGATAAATGGGCTTCATGTGCAGCCATTCATTCAAGGACAGATTATGCCCGTCCACATGGCGCTACTGTTGTGACAGATATCGTGAGATAGCAGAACATTCCGGTACTCCCCTGGTCAGCTGTTTCTCCGGACCTGTCCCCTGTCGAACACACTTGGGATGAAATGGAGAGGAATGAGCCATTGACGCAAGCTGAATTGAGACAAGCGATTGTTTAGATATGGAACAACATTCCCCAAGCTTTGTCAACGCCAAACCCGACATACTGAATTTGTGACACCACATCTCTTCAAAGACTCGTGTCACGATGCCTGGTGTCAAACTGGGTGCTGGGTGCTAAACTCAGAATAACATCAGGTCAGCCATTGAGAATACAGAAACAACTGTCACGGCACACAATACTGACAAATAGCGAGTCTGATGCCGATTTAATTATATGTTTAATCACAATCGGACTTGGTTTAATCAATGTTGAAAAGTACCACTGACAAGAACTTGTAACATGTAATAGTATGAAAACGACAGAAACAATCGGTTTACTTCATGTAGAACTGTTTTCGCGATTAAAATATAAATGATATTTTTGCATTAAAATTTGGTATACATGTTCCTGATGACTTTATCTTGAACCCAGTCAGTTATAGCAATTTTCTAGTAAATGTTTTAAGGCCTTAACTTCCAATACCGTTTAGGGAAGAAATGTGGAAGACATCTCTGGATTTAACATTTCAATTACCAACCTGCTAAAATATTCGATATGAAGATAAGCCCAATACTTCTATATGGCTTTGAAATATGGGGATTACAACAATATGACAGTATTGAAAGAGTTCATTTATATGCATGCAAAAAGTTGCTTGGTGTAAAACCGAACACATGTAATATGATGGTTTACGGAGAATTAGGTAGATTCCCCTTGTTTATGTACTCTTCCATTAAAGCCATAATGTATTGAGTAAAATTACTGCACATGACATGCCATAGGTTTCCGAAAAAATGTTATGATATGATGAAATTGTATGACGAAAATGGGAAGAGAAATTGGGTGACTGATATTAGAGAGCTGTTGTACAAAACTGGTTATCGTTATGTGTGGTGTGATCCCAATGTTCAGTTCCATGCAAATTTTATCATATCATTTACACAAAGACAGAAAAATATGTATTTCCAATCTTGGTCGGAATTATTACTTCTATCCACAAAATGTTTATACTATAATCAATGGAAATCGGACATACGTTTTGAAGACTATTTAGCAAAATCGACGTAAAGAAGTTTTGTATAGCTCTCTCTCATTTTCGTTGCTCTTCCCATGCATTATTTATTGAAACTGGTAGGTATACAGGTATACAAAGTGAAAACAGAATATGTCAATTATGTAATATGAATTCTGTTGAGGATGAACTACATTTCCTTCTAATCTGTCCTGTTTATACGACTCTACGAACGAACTACCTAAAGCCATACTATTATAAGCATCCAAGTGTAAGAAACTTAATTCCACTATTAACAGATACTACCACATCACTATTACAGAATCTGGCAATGTTCATCTATTTCGCTTTGAGTTTAAGAAAAAGTATTGTTACAGAAAAGAATTTATAAATGATTTCTATCAACTCATGTAAACTCTAAATGTACTACAGGCCTGTGGCCTTTTTAAGTACTGAAGTAAATATTGATTGATTGATACCAACCTGCTATTTAACTAGCCTTTGCATGTGTTCGTTGACAGAAGTCACCGGCAGGATCCCTGACACCTTGTACTAGCACTACTTGGTAGTTATCCATTAATACATTAGTATGCTATTGCTTGAATTGAACAGTGGAGTCTGTTTTAGCGGCTATTACATGCGATTAAAAATTGTTTCGTTTGTTTTTAGCCGCTCCGAAAAAGAAAGAGGGGGCATCCTTCACCCCGACCTTGAGAACCTCGAAAGGTGAAACGGCCAGATTGGAGGTCACCTTCTCCGGCGACCCGCCACCAGAGGTCAGCTTGTGCAAGATTGAAGAGGGAAGTCTGACCCCTGTGAACAATGTGGTCGAGGAAACAGTGTTTCAAGGTAGGTAGGGCTCCATTCTGGCTCCGTTAAAGATGGGTGGGGAGTTCTGTCCTTTGAACAGAGGAGACTGGGGAGATAATACACCAAGGTAGGTGGGGAGATCTGTCCTTTGATCAGAGGAGAGTGGGAACACAGTAGTCTAAGGTAGGTGGGGAGCTCTGTCCTTTGTACAGAGGAGAGTGGGAGATAGTTGTCTAAGGTAGGTGGGTCGCTCTGTCCCTTGTACAGAGGAGAGAGTGGGTACATAGTTTGTCAGAGGGAGAGGTAGGTGGGGGGGCTCTGTCCCTTGTACAGAGGATGTCCCTTGTACAGAGGAGAGTGGGAACATAGTTGTCTAAGGTAGGTGGGGAGCTCTGTCCCTTGTACAGAGGAGAGTGGGAACATAGTAGTCTAAGGTAGGTGGGGAGCTCTGTCCCTTGTACAGAGGGAGAGTGGGAACATAGTAGTCTAAGGTAGGTGGGGAGCTCTGTCCTTTGTACAGAGGAGAGTGGGGAGATAATAGACCAAGGTAGGTGGGGAGATCTGTCCTTTGATCAGAGGAGAGCGGGAACACAGTAGTCTAAGGTAGGTGGGGAGATCTATCCTTTGTACAGAGGAGAGTGGGGACATAGTAGTCTAAGGTAGGTGGGGAGCTCAGTCCCTTGTACAGAGGATAATGGGAACATAATAGTCTAAGGTAGGTGGGGAGCTCTGTCCCTTGTACAGAGGAGAGTGGGGAGATAATAGACCAAGGTAGGTGGGGAGCTCTGTCCCTTGTACAGAGGAGAGTGGGAACATAGTAGTCCAAGGTAGGTGGGGAGCTCTGTCCCTTGTACAGAGGATAATGGAACATAGTAGTCTAAGGTAGGTGGGGAGCTCTGTCCCTTGTACAGAGGAGAGTGGGGAGATAAAAGACCAAGGTAGGTGGGGAGCTCTGTCCATTGTACAGAGGAGAGTGGGGACATAGTAGTCTGTCCCTTGTAAGAGGATAAGGGAACATAGGGGTGGGGAGCTCTGTCCTTTGTACAGTCCCCAAGGTTGTACAGTCCCTTGTACAGAGGAGAGTGGGGACATAATAGACCAAGGTAGGTGGGGAGCTCTGTCCCTTGTACAGAGGAGAGTGGGAACATAATAGTCCAAGGTAGGTGGGGAGCTCTGTCCCTTGTACAGAGGAGAGTGGGGACATAGTAGTCTAAGGTAGGTGGGGAGCTCTGTCCCTTGTACAGAGGAGAGTGGGAACATAGTACTCTAAGGTAGGTGGGGAGCTCTGTCCCTTGTACAGAGGGAGAGTGGGAACATAATAGACCAAGGTAGGTGGGGAGCTCTGTCCCTTGTACAGAGGGAGAGTGGGGAGCTCTGTCCCTTGTACAGAGGATAAGTAGTCTAAGGTAGGTGGGGAGCTCTGTCCCTTGTACAGAGGATAATGGGAACATAGTAGTCTAAGGTAGGTGGGGAGCTCTGTCCCTTGTACAGAGGAGAGTGGGGAGATAATAGACCAAGGTAGGTGGGGAGCTCTGTCCCTTGTACAGAGGAGAGAGGAGTAAGGTGGGGGGAGCATAGTAGTTGTACAGAGGATAAGGTAGGGGGGGAGCTCTGTCCCTTGTACAGAGGAGAGTGGGGAGAACATAATAGACCAAGGTATAGCTAGTCCCTTGTAAGGTAGGTGGGGATAATAGACTCTGTCCCTTGTACAGAGGAGAGTGGGGAACATAGGGGAGCTAGTCCAAGGTAGGTGGGGAGCTCTGTCCCTTGTACAGAGGAGGGAACATGGGAAGAGGAGAGTGGGAGGTGGGGGTAGCTCTGTCCTTTGTACAGAGGAGAGTGGGAACATAATAGGTAGGTGGGGAGCTCTGTCCCTTGTGTACAGAGGAGAGTGGGAACATAGTAGTCTAAGGTAGGTGGGGAGCTCTGTCCCTTGTACAGAGGAGAGTGGGAACATAGTAGTCCAAGGTAGGTGGGGAGCTCTGTCCCTTGTACAGAGGAGAGTGAGGAGATAATAGACCAAGGTAGGTGGGGAGCTCTGTCCCTTGTACAGAGGATAATGGGAACATAGTAGTCTAAGGTAGGTGGGGAGCTCTGTCCTTTGTACAGAGGAGAGTGGGGAGATAATAGACCAAGGTAGGTGGGGAGATCTGTCCCTTGTACAGAGGAGAGTGGGAACATAGTAGTCTAAGGTAGGTGGGGAGCTCTGTCCCTTGTACAGAGGAGAGTGGGAACATAGTAGTCTAAGGTAGGTGGGGAGCTCTGTCCCTTGTACAGAGGAGAATGGGAACATAGTAGACCAAGGTAGGTGGGGAGCTCTGTCCCTTGTACAGAGGATAATGGGAACATAGTAGTCTAAGGTAGGTGGGGAGCTCTGTCCCTTGTACAGAGGATAATGGGAACATAGTAGTCTAAGGTAGGTGGGGAGATGTGTGTGTGTGTGTTTATATATATATATATTGACATCTTTAAATAGAATACTGATTATCAATATATTTAAAACAATTGAACTGTCTTTAATTTCTTGATAAATGTTAAAACGGCTTGCCATACGTGAACAGCAGTAAGTGAAAACGTTCCGTACGTAACCAGACAGAAGGTTGAGACAAGGTACAAAAGGTAACCAGGGATCTCTTGCTCTGATAGAGACCCATGTTCAAGGTTTGACGGCATATAATTTCGAAATACATTATTTTTTCTGTTGATCAACTTTAACAACGATTTTAATCTGAATCATTCAGTAGAGGTATTTTCCAAATCCTCTATGAAGTTTGTTTTTGGCGCATGCTGTTTGTAACAGACCCCACCGTCGCGGTGTGGGTGCCAGTCTGCTAGTTGGTTTTGGATTTTTGTGGACCAAGTTTCACATGATTGTTTCAGCTACCCCAGGGAGAGTGGGAGGCAGTGTGACTGCTGTGTTTGACGTGAAGGTGGAGACGGACGGCGACCTGGGCATGTACTATGTCTCAGCCGTGAACATCGTGGATAGGACCGTCGTCTACTTTGAACTGCGGGGTGAAGGTTAGTGACAGTTCTGCAGGCACTTGGTGAGTGTCTGTCTGTAGGTTCGCGTGTGTGCATATATGTGTCTTTCTTTTAGTTTCCCCCTCCATGTCTAGTTGGAGTTTTTTTCCGCTTGTTTTTCTGAATGTCTTACCTAAGTCACCTACCTTCTGTCAACATTCATTCTCACCCATCGCTCAATCTCTGCTCATCTCTTGTTATCCCACTTTAGCTCTCCTCTGCTTTCTCTCCCGTTCTCCAAGTGTTTCTACGGAATTCAATTTATTTCCAATGCCCTTCTCTCCCCATCTGTCAATTTGTCTCCGCCTCAATCCACCACTCAAGAGTTGCCTCCCTTGCGCTTCTCTCCCCATCTGCCAATGTGTCTCCGCCTCAATCCACCACTCAAGAGTTGCCTCCCTTGCGCTTCTCTCCCCATCTGTCAATGTATCTCCGCCTCAATCCACCACTCAAGAGTTGCCTCCCTTGCGCTTCTCTCACCATCTGCCTCCGCCTCAATGTTGCCTCTCTTGCGCTTCTCTCCCCATCCCAATGTGTCTCCGCCTCAATCCACCACTCAAGAGTTGCCTCCCTTGCCCTTCTCTCACTATCTGTCAATGTATCTCCGCCTCAATCCACCACTCAAGAATTGCCTCTCTTGCCTGTCTCTACCCATCTGTCAATGAATCTCCGCCTCAATCCACCACTCAAGAGTTGCCTCCCTTGCGCTTCTCTCCCCATCTGCCAATGTGTCTCCGCCTTAAATCATCCACCCAAGAGTTGCCTCCCTTGCGCTTCTCTCACCATCTGCCAATGTGTCTCCGCCTCAATCCACCACTCAAGAGTTGCCTCCCTTGCCCTTTTCTCCCCATCTGTCAATTTGTCTCCGCCTCAATCCACCACTCAAGAGTTGCCTCCCTTGCGCTTCTCTCCCCATCTGCCAATGTGTCTCCGCCTCAATCCACCACTCAAGAGTTGCCTCTCTTGCCCTTCTCTCAATCATCTGCCAATGTGTCTCCCCCTCAATCCATTATTCTTTACCTCATCATTCTTTATCGTTTTGTATTGGTGTAAAGTTGGGATACTGATAAGGCTGTATTGATATATTGGCATGACTGTATTATATTGTAGGTGATCAGACTCTGGGTGCCCTTTGCAGCGAAACAGACAATGATGGAGGTACGTCATAACATATCCTGATAGAGGTACGTCATAACATATCCTTATGGAGGTAATTCATAACATATCCTGATAGAGGTACGTCATACCATATCCTGATAGAGGTATGTTATAACATATCCTGATGGAGGTACGTCATAACATATCCTGATAGCGGTACACCCAAACATATCCTGATGGAGGTAATTCATAACATACCCTGATAGAGGTACACCAAAACATATCCTGATGGAGGTACGTCTTAACATATCCTGATGGAGGTACGTCGTAACATATCCTGATGGAGGTACGTCATAACATATCCTGATAGAGGTATGTCATAACATATCCTGATGGAGGTACGTCATAACATACCCTGATGGAGGTACGTCGTAACATATCCTGATGGAGGTACGTCATAACATACCCCGATGGAGGTAAGTCTTAACATATCCTGATGGAGGTACGTCGTAACATATCCTGATGGAGGTACGCCATAACATATCCTGATGGAGGTACGTCTTAACATATCCTGATAGAGGTACGTCATAACATACCCTGATGGAAGTACATCTTAACATATCCTGATGGAGGTACGTTGTAACATATCCTGATGGAGGTACGCCATAACATATCCTGATGGAGGTACGTCGTAACATATCCTGATGGAGGTACGTCGTAACATATCCTTATGGAGGTACACCAAAACATATCCTGATAGAGGTACGTCATAACATATCCTGTTAATGGAGGTACGTCATAACATATCCTGATGGAGGTACGTCATAACATATCCTGATAGCGGTACACCCAAACATATCCTGATGGAGGTAATTCATAACATACCCTAATAGAGGTACACCAAAAGATATCCTGATGGAGGTACGTCTTAACATATCCTGATGGAGGTACGTCATAACATATCCTGATGGAGGTACGTCATAACATATCCTGATGGAGGTACGTCATAACATATCCTGATGGAGGTACGTCTTAACATATCCTGATGGAGGTACGTCGTAACATATCCTGATGGAGGTACGTAACATATAACATACCCAAAACATATCCTGATGGAGGTACGTCATAACATATCCTGATGGAGGTACGTCATAACATATCCTGATGGAGGTACGTCATAACATATCCTGATGGAGGTACGTCATAACATATCCTGATGGAGGTAATTCATAACATATCCTGATGGAGGTACGTCAAAACATATCCTGATGGAGGTACGTCTTAACATATCCTGATGGAGGTACGTCTTAACATATCCTGATGGAGGTACGTCATAACATATCCTGATGGAGAGGTATGTCATAACATATCCTGATGGAGGTACGTCGTAACATATCCTGATGGAGGTACGTCGTAACATATCCTGATGGAGGTACGCCATAACATATCCTGATGGAGGTACGTCGTAACATATCCTGATGGAGGTACGTCATAACATATCCTGATGGAGGTACGTCATAACATATCCTGATGGAGGTACATCTTAACATATCCTGATGGAGGTACGTCGTAACATATCCTGATGGAGGTACGCCATAACATATCCTGATGGAGGTACGTCGTAACATATCCTGATGGAGGTACGTCGTAACATATCCTGATGGAGGTACGTCATAACATATCCTGATGGAGGTACGTCGTAACATATCCTGATGGAGGTACGTCATAACATACCCCGATTGAGGTAAGTCTTAACATATCCTGATGGAGGTACGTCGTAACATATCCTGATGGAGGTACGCCATAACATATCCTGATGGAGGTACGTCTTAACATATCCTGATAGAGGTACGTCATAACATACCCTGATGGAAGTACATCTTAACATATCCTGATGGAGGTACGTTGTAACATATCCTGATGGAGGTACGCCATAACATATCCTGATGGAGGTACGTCGTAACATATCCTGATGGAGGTACGTCGTAACATACCCTGATGGAGGTACGTCATAACATACCCTGATGGAGGTACATCTTAACATATCCTGATGGAGGTACGTCGTAACATATCCTGATGGAGGTACGTCGTAACATATCCTGATGGAGGTACGTCATAACATATCCTGATGGAGGTACGTCATAACATACCCTGATGGAGGTACGTCTTAACATATCCTGATGGAGGTACGCCATAACATATCCTGATGGAGGTACGTCTTAACATATCCTGATGGAGGTTCGTCATAACATACCATCATTGATGGGGGTACGTCATAACATACATGTACCCTTATGGAGATACGTCATAATAGATCCCGATGGGGTATGTCACAGCATATACCGTTTGAGGTAGGTCATAACATAACCTGATGGAGATACGTCATAACATAACCTGATGGAGGTACGTCATAACATATCCTGATAGAGGTATGTCATAACATATCCTGATGGAGGTACTTCACAACATATACTTATGCAGGTACGTCATAGCACTCTCACCTTACGTCTTCTTATCCACGTCCAATTTCACATACCACTACATATCTGTATTTCCAGGAATGCGCATGTTCGGATTTGGAGCCTGTGTCGGTGCATGCGTCATGCTCGCTGTCGGAATCATAATTGCTGTTGTAGTCTTCAGAAAGTACCACAAGATGAAAAGAGGTAAACTGTCTTTGGTTGAAGATCTCAAACACTTATCTCATTACTGAAATCCTAACTCATAAGGACACATGCCTGTGTCATACACTTCAAGGTGCTCACCGGTCAGCGAACACTTAATGCTAGCATTGACTTGTCGGGTGTTCCATGTATTTGGTTGAATTTTGTTTGAATTATGTTCATGGTGTCTTCATGTGACACTGACGAGAGGATAATTTGGTGCAATCTGAAATTCTCTGTGTGTTTGGAGAGGCCTGTGCCCTTTTCGCGAACACCATGTCTCAATTATCAAATTATTAAATCAGGTACTTCCCATGACTATTTTGCCTTAACGGATGATGGAACTAGTGTCAGAAGATGATTCCTTTCATCGACAAAGCAGTTGTCTAACCTGAGTGTCTATCACTGATGAATGACATATCTTCCATCAGAAAGTTGATTTGTGAATTAACGAATGACATATCCTTTATAAGTCAATGGGCATAGATGAGTTAATGAATGACATACTTTGTCAGTTAAATGAAGGATAAATTGCTGGGGAATGAATTGCTGAATGGCACATCCTTTATCAGGCGATGAATGGATGCATGAATCTACGAAACACATATCTTTTGTCAGTTAATGTATGTGTAACTTACATGTGTAACATATCCTTTATAAGGGCATTGGCGCATGAATGAATTAATGATATATTCATCAGGCAATGAACGCATGAATTAATTAATGGTATATTCATCAGGCAATGTACGCATGAATTAATGAATGACATATCCTTTGTCAGGCAATGTACGCATGATTTAATGAATGATATATTCATCAGGCAATGGATGCATGAAGTAATGAATGACATATCCTTTGTCAGGCAATGAACGCATGATTTAATGAATGATATATTCATCAGGCAATGGATGCATGAATTAATGAATGACATATCCTTTGTCAGGCAATGAACGCATGATTTAATGAATGATATATTCATCAGGCAATGGATGCATGAATTAATGAATGACATATCCTTTGTCAGGCAATGAACGCATGATTTAATGAATGATGTATTCATCAGGCAATGGATGCATGAATTAATGGATGACATATCTTTTGTCAGGCAATGAACACATGAATTAATGAATGACATATCCTTTGTCAGGCAATGAACGCATGAATTAATGAATGATACATTCACCAGGGAATGGATGAAAAAGTAGTAAATGGCAAATTATTCATCTGGCAACGAACTACCAAACATACAAGAGAATGAATTTATGCATCATTTAATTTTCTAACTGTTACTTTTAAGGTTTGAAATATAATTAGGCCACTGGCAATATTATTTGTCATTTGTCTTTACAGATTTGGAATTCCCATATGCTTCGACTATCAGGTTTGTGAAACTTGTCACATGTAGCAACTTACATCGGATGAGGACAGTATAGTATGCTAGTATGATAAGCTTCGGAAGTATGTGGAGGTGAAACATATTGAGGATAACTTCTTCCCGTTTCCTGATGCAGAGACAATCAAGGTCGCTCGTTGTAGTGTAGGGGAGATAATTCAAACTTGAAACTCGTATTTTCCGAATAACTAAATTCTTTTCACCTGGATTTTTCCCTTAGGAATATATATTTCACTAATTAACGCCTATAGTTTTGTATAGATTCTTAATTTCTTCAATACTTAGATATTTAGTCTGTGAACTTTACATTCGCTAAACACCGTACATAACCTGACCTTATATTTGCAGTAAACATACAATTTCTAGCAAAGCTGAAACAACCGTACCAGTGAGCTAGTTTTGTCTTTCACCAGTATTCCAGTAATATCACAGGCTCCGGGGGAATCGAACCATGGATGTCAGAGTGGCGATCGATTGCTTAAAACGAAAGTAACAAACAAACAACACGAGACGTCTTTCTTTCCAACTGACAAATCGTGAAATGTGGACCTCCCTAAATATTCGGTCTCAATTAATAACTAACAAAATCGTCCTTCGTCTGTTACAAGATTCACGAGAAACCTAATTTGCTTCGTCACCACCTGATATGTTTTTACCTGTCTCCGTAGTCCCCTCAGTGGTATGGATCCGAGCCACTACCAGGAACTCCCCTCCCCCAAGGATTGGAAGAAACAGCTGCAAGATGGAGGGTACATTCTGCCGGAAGGGGATCGTCCTGAGGGTAAGGAACAATTCTTTTGGTTAAGTGGTTGTTTTCTGGACCGCTTCCCAATTTGATGAAACAATATTTCCGCTATTTTCCTGTGGATGAAGGATCGCACCTTTAGGAACAAGAATTGTCCTAAAACGATAGGATAGGGGATGTAACTCTTGGATAAGGGGCAACGCCCTAGGGTTGTGGGAACGTGAAAGAACAATTTACAGTATTAATATAATGACTTCACAGAATATGCAGTAGTAGTACGTACCATAGACGTAGATCTAGCAGTCAAATATGTTATAGCAATCGATCTGTTTTATTGCAGTGTACTCTATTAAGACTCATGAAAAACCGGTTGAGGACAAGGCCATCGCAACCAAGGCGGCAACTAATCCAATCTACGACCACATCAGCCTCTACGGCGACAGCACCTTCCCAAGACAGTAAGGATGCCACCATACACACGGCATTATTCTGCCATCATCCATAACCCTAGCATCAACACGAGCCCTATCCTAATCACTAATCATAACATCATACATTCATCCTCATCCTCATCTTGTACATCAACATCAACATCAACCCCATCACCAACTTATTCCCAACATAAACCCAACCTCATTCCCATTGTCATCTTCATCATAACCCTATCCCAACGTCGTCCTCATCCTCAACCCAAACGTCAACGTTTTTCCGGAAACTTGAAGGACGTGTAGAGAAACGGTCCGGAAACCTAACTGAAACTTAAGTTTCCATTTCATTTCCGTTGGGTTTCCGGTGTCCAGAAATCAAGTTATTTTTCCTGTGAACCTTCACCCCAAACCATGGGTACAATGAGTGAAGCCCGTTTCTGGTGTCCCCCGCCGTGATATTGCTGGAATATTGCTAAAAGCGGCGTAAAACCAAACTCAGTCAGTCAGTCACCCCAAACCATCCTTATCACCGACCCCACGTCCATGTTCAAATTCAGCCTTAATTCAAAGGCTAAAGGCCTAAACCCATCACCAACACCAACCGTAGTTAACCCCAACATCATCCTCAACCCTAACATCATCCTCAACCCCAACATCATCTCTGCATCATCTTCTGCCCAAAAGTCCAACCGGAACCTCAAGTACCTGAACACAAACATCATCCACATAGAGCAGGTAACTTGTGCTGACCAATGCATGTTTATTCTTCCGATGGTCGTTACGGCGTTGTTTTGCTTATATAATTTCTTTGGCCACAGGAACAGCAACTGCAGCACCAGTAGCAGCTAAACAACTTGGCCGACATGGACGATGTTGAAGGAGACACTGGCCAGTGTCCATTCAATTCAAGCAAGAGACGCCAGTCTGTTTGAGAGAATAGTTACGAAGCATAATTTGTCTGCGGTACTTCACAATACGATTTCTATGATCAACGGCTTCTATATGTTCATGTTCTCAAAACCTAGCCTGATTTATGTATGTTCAAGTTTAGGTGCATATACTTCTCTGAGATGCATTAACCTCACTGTGGTTTCTTGTTTGATTCTAATTTGAATTTGTTGCTGTCGAGATCGCATGTATGGCAGAAAATAGTCCATCATCCATCAATAGCCCCAACCCGCAACCTCGCCCTGTCAAACACAGGGAATGTGTCTATATTGACACACCCAGCAGGGACTTTATAACATTTGACTCCATGGTGACCAAGGACTGTATAACAGTTGACTCCACGATAACCAGGGACTTTATAACAGATGACTCCACGATAACCAGGGACTTTATAACAGATGACTCCACGATAACCAGGGACTATATAACAGCTGACCTCATCCTGACCTGGGACTTTATAACAGTTGACTTCATCTTGACCGGGGAGTTTATAACAGCAGACTTCATCTTGACCGGGAACTTCATAACAGTTGACTCCACGATAACCAGTGACTTTATAACAGTTGACTACATGGTGACCAGGGACTTTATAACAGTTGACTTCATCTTGACCGGGGACTTCATAACAGTTGACTCCATAGTGACCAGGGACTTTATAACGGTTGACTTCATCTTGACCGGGGACTTTATAACAGTTGACCCCACGATAACCAGGGACTTATAACAGCATTCTCCATCTTGACCAGGGATTTATAACATTTCACTCCATGGTGACCAGGGCTTTATAACAGTGACTGATTCCATGGTGACCAGGGACTTTATAACAGCTGACTTCATCTTGGCCGGGGACTTTATAACAGTTGATTCCATGGTGACCAGGGACTTTATAACAGTTGACTTCATCTTGGCCGGGGACTTTATAACAGTTGATTCCATGGTGACCAGGGACTTTATAACATTTGACTCCATCTGACCAGGGACTTTATAACATTTCACTCCATGGTGACCGGGACTTTATAACATTTAACTGTATAACAGTCCATGGTGACCAGGGACTTTATAACATCTTGATTCCATATCTAACTGTATAACAGGGACTTAATTCCATGGTGACCAGGGACTTTATAACATTTGACTCCATCTGACCAGGGACTTTATAACATTTCACTCCATGGTGACCGGGACTTTATAACAGTTGATTCCATATCTAACTGTATAACAGTTAATTCCATGGTGACCAGGGACTTTATAACAGCTGACTTCATCTTGACAGGGAACTTTATAACAGTTGACTCTATGGTGACCAAGGACTTTATAACAGTTGGTTCCATGGTGACCAGGGACTTCATAACATTGACTCCATGGTGACCAGGGACTTTATAACAGTCGACTTCATCTTGACCGGGGACTTTATAACAGTTGACTCCATGGTGACCAGGGACTTTATAACAGTTGATTCCATGGTGACCAGGGACTTTATAACAGTTGACTTCATCTTGACCGGGGACTTTATAACAGTTGACTCCATGGTGACCAGGGACTTTATAACAGTTGACTTCATAACAGTGGACTTCATCTTAACCGGGGACTTTATAACAGTTGACTCCATGGTGACGAGGGACTGTATAACGGTTGATTCCATGGTGACCAGGGACTTTATAACAGCTGCATGACTTCATCTTGACCGGGGACTTTATAACAGTTGACTCCATGGTGACCAGGGACTCTATAACGGTTGACGTCATGGGTACCGATGACTTTATAACATTTGATTCCATGGTAACCAGGGACTCTATAATTACCAGTGACTTTCTCGTAACCCGGGAATTGTAAGCAGGGTACATATGATTTCCCAGGAATGGTGTAATCGATTGTTATAACGGAGGACCTTTAAGATACAATGGGACATATCTATCAACCGGGACTATGCTAAACCAGGAAGCTCATCGTGTTACGGGGAAGTGGAAGAAGATGAGGGGTGCGAACTATGATTATATTCATCTTATAGTTTTCTGCTTTGTGTCCTGATGAACCTGATAATAATATTTTTCATCTTAATACCATTTTGCTGTACAAATATTGTGCTTAAACTAGTATAATACCCCAGTTCCGCTATAGGGCTGTAATAACATCGATGCAGCTTTAAATTTTAATTCTCTCACTCACTAACCTAACAATTCTTCATTTGTACATAATGTTAAGATGGAAAATTTTATACGCACCTATTCAGAATAGATGGAGACGAAACCAATACTTATAACGCGGAAACAGCTGCGCTCCACAAAGACTGTCCGCATCAACACCCCAGTGCACTTGAACTCTACCCTTTTTGTGGAGCCTATTGTATCGACTTTCATTATCAAGGAACTAAATTATGTACATGTTATCCTCCCTTCCTTCTCAGCTTTTTGTTTACCTAATAATATATTTTCCCACAGCGATGATACGAGCGTTAGTTTTTTCACGTATCTAAATGTCTCAGCTTTTTTTATATTTTATAATAAATTTTCTAAAATGACATGAGTTTGTTTGTTTTTTCAGAAGATCTCAGCTTTTTCTATACTTGATGATAGATTTGACCAAATGATCCGAATGTATATGTTATCAGAGTGAGTGTGTGAGTTTAGTTTTACGCCGCACTCAGCAATATACCAGCTATATGGCGGCGGTCTCAGTGTAAATAATCGACTCTGGACCAGATAATCCAGTGATCAACAGCATGAGCATCGATCTACGCAATTGGGATACGATGAAATGTGTCAACCAATTCAGCAAGTCTGTCCACCGGATCCCGCTAGTCGCCACTTACGACAAGCATGGGTTACTGAAGAGCAACTGTAACCCTAAGTCTCTTTCCCTCTCTCTCTCTCTCTCTCTCTCTCTCTCTCTCTCTCTCTCTCTCTCTCTCTCTCTCTCTCTCTCTCTCTCTCTCTCTCTCTCTCTCTCTCTCTCTCTCTCTCTCTCTCTCTCTCTCTCTCTCTCACACACACACACACACATACGCACGCAGCATTAAGACTGTACGAATTGTGAACGTGAAAAGTATAACAGGTAATGGATATGTATCACGCTCGCACGCACACACACACACGCACGCAGCATAAAGAAACGATATAGAGTTTTTAGCGAGTATCTGCAAAGTATAACAGCTACACCAACAGGAAAAATAGATTTTACTTTCCTGAAGGTTACAATGACATGTGTTCACATATTACTTCTGGGTACTCGACATGCATATCAGTCATATCTACACATGGATACAGTGTGTGAAGCCCATTTCTGGTGTGCCCCGCCGTGCTGGAATATTGCTAAAAGCGGCGTAAAACTAAACTCATTCACTGACTCACTCATTTGCCATAAGCGGATCCAGAGGGGGGTGGGGTTGCAGAGGTGCGCACCCCCCCCTCCCCTTTATTCTTCTGAAAGTTTGTTCAATTACCATTGAAACTCGGGTGAAAATGAAGTGTGCACACACCCCACCTGTTCTCAATAGTGTGCACCCCCCTTTCTCAAAAACCTGCATCCGCCCCTGTTTGCACTGACCTCTTTTCCAGAGTCATGCGCCCATATAGTAACACATTTTTTCTCCTAGCCCTTAGATAAAAAAACGACAATATAAGAAAGGCACAGAATTCATTTATTTTTTAAAATAAGCATAAGAGAAAGCCAATACCAAATTATTCATTTTCAATCAAATCACGATTTGTTAACACCTTGAAGAGTATCATTTAAAAAGTAATATTATTGAAAGAAATGTCCACACAATTTCTGTAACTCGAATTCCATTATATCGATATATCTTCTGATGCAATGAAACACGTGTACCAAACATACCCATAAAAAAGGGATACAAGTACCAAAAAAGTCGATATGGCGGAACAACATTAATCAATTAATCTAATACGTTATGAAACTCGTGAAGATCTGAGTTCAAACTGATCTTCAGTAACCCATGCTTGTCAAGGCATTCGACTAAGGGGATCGGGTGGTCAGGCTCGCTGACTTGTTTGGCACATCGTATTTTAAATGCTGGGAAATTTTCTGAGCGCGGCGTTACACAACAAACAAGTGAGTGAGTGAGTGAGTTAAAATTTATAGTCACATCGGCGATATTTCAGCCATATCGTGACTAAAACTAGTTCTAAATTTATAATACATACACAACAAACAAAAGAATCTAATGTTACATGGGGACACCAGTATATCCCATATGAATATGGTCTGAAATCTGTACCCTGTTATCTCGAACTAGTGAAATATCGTGTGTGTACTGGTTCGCAGGACTCAACTTTTTCTACATAAAGATCAAACGTAATCGTGATTAACGTCACTCGTGTTTGTTTGTTTGTTTGTTCGTTCGAATTCGTTCGTTCGTTCGTTTAACGCTGCACTCAGCAATATTCCAGCTGTATAACGACGGTCTGTAAATATTCGAATCTGGACCAGACAATCTAGTGATCAACAGCATGAGCATCGATCTACGTATTATGATACGATGACATGTGTCAAACAAATCAGCGAGCCTGACCACCCGATTCCGTTAGTCGCCTCTTACCGCGAACTTGAGTTGCTGAAGACCAATTCTAACCAGGATCTTCACGGATGTTTCTAAAAAGGAAATGCATAGAAGATACTGGGACAGTTGATTTTGGTAATTCGTGAAACATTGAATACAAAATGAAAAAAATTGTACTGAACCATGCTTGTCCCACATTTGTTAACTGGCGTCGTGCACAAATAACCGTATTAGCTTTACACACCAATGTTTATAAGACTACACGAAAGCGTCATGTAAAGGCTGTGACAAGCTGTGACAGTCACGTGGTGTGACAGTCATCAGTGACAAGAACCATAAAAGGTCACTTTTACCACGGGGATATCCGACAAACAATTGATTGATCTCAGGCACGTAACTTTTAATCAGTGTTGTAGTTACTTCCTTGACAATTCTGCGGCGTCTAAATTACAAGGAAATACAAGTGGAATTATAAGTGCTGTCGGGCCTGTATCCATAGGCATTCATCGCATTTCGAGAGAGGAATAGGAACATCTGTGCAAACGTTCACACCCGAACACCGCTGTGCCGCGTAATGGCGGTGACAGACAAGATGACCTTGATATTTGCCATGGCGTTCTCCTACGTTCAGATATACTCCACAACCGGTGAGTACGTACAGTTATTGTAAAGTTCGGTGTTACATAAAAGTGTGAAGGAGATTTTATCTTTGTCTGCTGAGAGTGCAGGTACGCATGTCATAAACAAACCTGTCTTTATGTTTTAATTTTGAACTCATTATCTGTCATCTACAAGCAAATTGCTTTTGCCATGTTCCAGCCTCACGATCCCCATTTTTTTGACTCTCTATCTTCGTAACACACACACACACGCACGCACGCACGCACGCACGCACGCACACACACACACACCTTTAGAAAAAGCCCGCAAAATCTGCATTAAATGCATCACAAACTGCAGGAAACAAAATATGCAAGAAACATTTTGTGGTTTTGAGATAGGCAGACGTCCTCTAGAATCAAATGTAGATATCAAAATGCATAAAAATGCAAAATCGCTTGTTAAAGTGACCTCTCGGTCCCCCCCCACCCCACCCCACCCCCATGACGTTTCTTGAAAGAGCTTGTTTTGGAGACACTACCCAACCCCTTTCATATGACGGAATCATAAGGACATAATGTATTCTAATGTTTTCACTTATTCATACATGATGCCAAGGGTTCAAACTAAATACTGAATGGTCACACGCGTGTCAGCACTCAGTATATTGTAAGCAGTGCCAGCTTGAATATCTGGACACAATGGTTTTGAAAGATTAAAATAGGGGTGTCCTTTAAAAACAGCCCCGTCTAAATACAAATCAAGCCATCCAAATCTTTGAATGCTGCTTATGACGGGAAGTCATTCAATACTATACTGAACATATTTCAGATGATATTATCTGAGGGCATACCATTATCCAAGAGGTACAAAATGACAGATCGTTTTTCACTGTCTGCAATTTTTAAAGAAATATTATACCCCAATGTGTTGTGATGACTAATATGTCGTTAACCTCATTGCCCACATATGTGAAATTTTGGATATGGCTTTGATAATGATTCCTTCAAAATAAAATGGAAGCTTTTCTAACATTGGGCATCGAGAATATAGTTAGGCCGACTACTTTTGGGACGCCCCTCGTACATATTGGCTGTTATTATGATGATAGGGTAGGAAATACCCGACTTCTAGGTAAGCATAGACTTGAAAATTGAATTTTACCAAAACATCCTTTTATAAATGTGACTGGGACAAAACAAGGATTATCTATGTATGAATGTGTGAATTACTGTGTAGATATTTAATCATGGATGTTTACGTAATGAATTCTTGTAATGTAAAGTAAAGTGTTGTTAAATTCAATAGATTAAGTACCGATATCATCAATGAATGTATCCGAGCAACTTTAAGCATATCTATTGCTTCACACGTTCATTATTAGCTTAGCATCTTTTCCATAAACCCTTCTGTCCCCTCGGGCGGTTAGCAGTCAGGTGGTTAAAGCGTTCGCCGGGTTCGAGTCCCATATGTGTACAGTGTTTGAAAGCCATTTCTGGTATTCAACTGACTTAATATTGCTGGAGAATTGCTAAAAGTATACTTACTCACTTCAAGTCATACGACGCGTTTGTTTCATTGTACTCTTTCCAAATGATACGCCATTTCTGATTAAACGTTAAGCACATTGCCTTTTGACCCGTGAAGGAGCGGTGGGGTTGCCTAGCTTAATCACACCGAACACTTAGGTTCGAATCCCTACATGGGCACATCTGGTATCTCACTGTGTGATAATGTTGGAATATAGCTGAAAGCGACGAAAAACACATACTCACTTTTACCAGTGAAACGCCATTCCTGCATCATAGTGTGAGTGAGTGAGTACGGTTTTAAGCCGATTTTAGCAACATCCATGCAATATCAGGGCGGGGGATATCAGAAATTGGTTCATATATTGTATCAATGTGGGGAATCGAATCCCAGGCCTTCGGCGTGATGGGCGGACCTTTAACCACTAGGCTCCCCCACCGTCCCTTCTGCATCATAAGTTGATAATCTTCATAACATGAAACGTCATTACAGGTACGTCCTTGACCTTGACCCGGGAACCTTCAGAGGCATTTCCGGGTATGTCGCTTCAATTCAAGTGTGACGTCACGACAGAAAACAGACAACCTGAAGGACTCTTCTTTCATAGGAGCGGTTTCTCCATGTGCACAGTGAAAGTAGACGATTGTACCCAATACATGTCAGCCTCTTGGTCCAAGACACAGTACACCTGCGGGTGCGGCCAACAGACGGACGGCAACTACGTCTACTTCCTCAACGCCTCCTCCTTACACGCCGACGTTGTTGGAGACTGGAGATGCGAATATGATGGCTTTAGCAACATTGTCCGTGTTAACCTGACGGGTAAATATTGACACATATTCGGTTTTAAACATCTAAATTTTATCGGTGGCAATCACTTAACATGACTGATAAATATTCAATTGAATTACATTGAATGTGCTTTGACGGATCCATTGTAAAAGATATTTCATTCACCCGTAAATGTTTCCGGATTGGAAATAATTAACTTACATCCGGAGTGGATTACATTTTTTCTAGATTACATTTTCAAGAAGGAAGCAATGGCTAGGGTATATTATTACAAAGGGGCAATGTGCCCATGTGGGAATCGAACCCGGGTGTTCGGTGTGACGAACGAACGCTTTAACCACTAGGCTACCCCACCGCCCTCCATCGTTGAAACGTTTTTACCTGAATTGCCTAAAGTATGGCAAATCGAGTGAAATGGTTACACCCGTGTTGAATAGGCTTTGTAGTTACCTCAAAACTTTACAGAGGAAAGTATGGAGTCCTGGAAGGGACACTGTCGCGTTGTCGCATTGTTGCACTGGTTAATTTTTAGTCTCTTTGCTTATTTTCGTGAGGGCGACAACGCGACAAATGTCCCTTCCTGGATTCCATACGAAAGCCATTATTGACACCGTTTGTTTTGTTCACATAATTGGTGAAGATATGGTATCAGCAGGTCCTGAAACTAAGGGGGAACAAGTCTACACAGCAAATTGCTTCACCCAGACCTCTAGACCCATCTTGCCCCGTTGCATAATTATTGAAAGTATCGATACATATAAATACAATAACTCTCTCAAACAGTGAAATTAAAACGAAGTAGTTTTTATTACGTGTTGTAAATTATTATACAATCAACAGTTTTTAACCCTCCAGATCCCGAGGGTCCATCACAGACGCGACTGGACAAGACAGAACTCCAGACTAAGGAGGGAGAAAGCGTCAACCTGACCTGCTCGGCCAACTGTCTCCCCGACTGTCGGTACAGCTGGACCAAGGGTGGACAGGACCTGACCAGTCAGACCAGGGGGATTCGGGGTCAAGTCCTGGCTCTGAACGGAGTGGTGGGCGACGACAGCGGCAACTACACCTGCACAGCCGTCAACCCTTCTTCCAACAAAGCAAGCAACGTCTCCATGAACCTTCATGTACTGAGTAAGTACACTTGTTTGCAATATGATACGAAAGTTTGAAACCTTAAATTACTTGATATTAAAAAACCGGATATATTAAATTCAAATAATACAATATGTTATTTTAGTTGGGTGTTTTATTTGAAGTTACCCAATAAATAACATAATGTAAGAAAATTTTAACCCGAAAATCGACGAGCTGAAAATAATTTGTGCGGGCCTTAAATGTGATCTAACAGATAAACTGACAAAAAAAAGATTTGACAGGGAAACAAAAATGTCGTGGTAAACAAAACCTGAACACGTGGATCTCGAACAAGGGATATCTCGATATATGTTCGGGTGACTACGAGAGTACGAGGTTTGGTTATACCTGAATCCGGTATTTGACACTTGTTTGTTAATACGACTGTGAAATATACTCATGCCAATAATGGTTGTCACCCCCTTCAATTTTTTTAATTGGAGAGGGTGGGGGGGGTGTTGGGTTGGGGTGGGGAGGGGGGTGACAACCATTATTGGCATGAGTATATGTTAAAACAACAAGCAATATTAGAGTGAGTTCGAGTTTAAGAGGAGTATTTTGACTCTTCTTGCACTACGATTGTATATACAATACAACGACCGATGCTCGACTGACTGACTGACTGAGTTTGGTTCTACGCCGCTTTTAGCAATATTCCAGCAACATCACGGCGGGGGACACCAGAAATGGGCTTCACACATTGTACCCATGTTGGGATTCGAACCCGGGTCTTCGGCGTGACGAGCCAACGCTTTAACCATTAGGCTACCCCACCGCCCACCGATGCTCGAGTAACGACCAGTTATCGAGGTTACCTTGATACTTGATTTATCACGATTAGCAAAGGTACTATTCTCTGCAACGAACGGAATTGGGGAAGTAGTTTTGTGAAAATACGGCAACAAAAGCTCCCAAGTATCCAGTGTCCGTTTTGAAAAGGCTACTATAAGGATGTGGTAGACTGTGGCGTCGGCAGTCGTTGCACATTTTATCAACCACTTGTTTGACTGATAATTGTTTTTCTTTTTTAAGTTGTATCCACTATCATGAATTTATTTTTATTATTTATTATAGTATCCACTATCATGAATTTATTTTCGATAGACCGTTGTTTTATGGTCAGAAATGGACTCACTTTCACGCATTCCGTGCAATATGATGAACGTTGAATGTTTATGTCAATGTCATAGAGTAAACCATTTCAATAAGTTTCTGTAAAACTTCATATATTCAAACAACATAATTGTTTCCATATATATCCAGAGTGCACCGAAATTCTATCCCCTTTGTCTGTTTAATGTATTCAGCAATCATTCGGTGTATCCCTTTTATCATAAACCCCCCTCAGGGCAGGACCCTTAATTCTCAATGCCATCAGTAAATGTCAATTAACATCTCCCCACGTCGGCAGATCTTATGTATGTACATGTGCACAGGTCAGTGACCTTGCACAACGTGGCGTAATGTCCAATGCGAAATTTTCACCAATAGTTGACGTGAATGTGTTGTCGCATTTTGACAAATATGTTTGTATTGAACCAAAGGGCGATAATTTGACAAGAAAACAATATTATTGTAAAGGTCAAAATATTTCGCATTGTCGTCCCATCAAAAATGTGTTGTAAAAGGTGTTACAATCTACAATAGCTCAACAAGGTAACAATATCTTGGTATTATCACGTTTCTAAGGGTACTATTATCCCAAAGCACCAGGTGTTTACATACTTTTGTACGTCAGTTTATAAAACTAGTGTTGTAGGGGAAGGGGTTGAGTCCAAATGTCCAAATCGATTAGGCCACACAAAGGTCACACACTTGTGTGATGACGTCATAAAAACAAAATGGCCGATTTGGGACTCAACCCCTTCCCCCAACAACAAACGAGGAATTAGCATAACTGGAATAGTGTTGAGTGCGGCGTAAAACTAAACTCACTCATTCATTATTGATTTTCATCTAAATAAAAAGAGAGCTTTATGTCTGTGCTTTCCAGAGTGTTTATCCCTAGTTTACAATAGGAAAGCCAGCCATGATGTTGCTGGAATATTGCTAAAACCAAACTCAGTCAGTCAGTACAATAGGAAAGCAACATATTACTTCCTTCTCTCCTTAATCGCCGCAACAAACATACAAATGGTTTGACATATCTATTAGGGTGTACACTTGTTTCCCCGGACAAACAAAGACTTTTACTTCCCTTAAACAACGTTTAAACAATTTCCCTGTTCTGGCAAAAGGGTCAAGATCGTTACATACTATTTTCATTGTTTAGTGTGATCATGTAGCCAGAAGTATATTACATGACTCAACTTTGGCCCACTTGCTTTTACTGTAGCATTCTCTGTTGCCTACATAAAGGCGAAGGTTAAATAGGTTTAATGGCGTTTAATTCATACATACACTAATGCATACATAGATACGTGCATGCATGCATGCATACAGACAGACACACACACACATACATACATACACAGACACACACATACATACACGCATGCATGCATACATACATGGACACATACATACATACACATGCATGCATACATACATACACACACACATATATATACACGCATGCACATACATACATACATACATACATACATACATACATACATACATACATACATACATACATACATACATACATACATACATACATACATACATACATACATATTTTGTGGATCAATCCTAATTCTAAAACAAGGAGAGATGTCAGCAAACTATGGAGGTAAAGCGTTGAGCTGTACTTTATCAGAGTCTGCTACACCATATGTGTGGTTCGGATAAGTCCTTCAGGCTGAACTAACGCTTCATTTAAATATGTCGAAGTTTCGTTGAATATACCTAATTGAGTGAGGTTTTGTTTTAACGTTGATCGATAGATAGACAGACAGAGAGATTGAGATAGATAGATAGATATAGTCCGTTTGGCTCAAAAGCGGACCGATGAATTGCAATCTAACTCGAAAACTAATAAACATCAAATTCTCAATGAAACGCTGATCATAATCAAAACATCATACCAACTCTGTGAGGTTTTTGCAGAATTTTTGTCCTAAAAATAAAAAAGTTATTTAACAAACTATCATTAAAATATTGACACAGTTCACTATTTGTTACGAAGGAGGAGTGCAGAGAAAGGGACAGCCAGGTGTTCGAGAAGCACGTTCACAGACAAAGTTATTTATTCATTAACCTGTGCTGTGCCGTCTCCATCCGTTCTCGAACACCTGGCTGTTCGCTCTAAACGTGGAACCTTAGAGCACTTGTATAGCATTTATTCAGTTATAAAAAATAGAAAACAGTCTTATAAGTCTACTTTTGTTTGCTATATTGATGCTATGAAGGCTTTTGATAAGGTAAACAGACACTGTCTTTGGTATAAACTACTGCAGCTTGGCATTAACGGGAAGTTCTTACACGCAGTTCAGACCATGTATGACAGTACCTCGGCCCGGGTCCATATTAACGATGAATACACAGACAGTTTCTCTGAAACCTCCGGCGTTCGTCAGGGGTGTGGGTTGTCGCCAACGTTGTTTTCAATATATGTGAACGACCTTGCTCACGAGATCAACAGTTTAGGATGTGGCATTGATGATGTTAGGTTCAGTTTGTTATTATATGCAGATGACATAGCACTTATCGCTCCTGACGAGGTGTCATTGCAGAGAATGTTGGATGTTGTAGCTGATTGGTGCTCCCGCCGGCGAATTCTGGTTAATATTCAGAAAACCAAAGTTATTCATTATCGCCCTAAACGGTTTATGAGATCTAAATTTGTTTTTATGATTGGTGATGATTATGTTGATTATACTAACGCCTATAAATATTTGGGACTTTGGCTTGAGGAGAATCTTGATTTAAATTACACTGCTAAAGAAATAGCGAAATCTGCTAACCGCGCGTTGGGATTGGTGATGTGTAAGTTTAAGTCCGTGGGAGGTATGGCTTATAACGTCTTTAATACGTTGTACAGCAACTTAGTGCAACCTATTCTGTCTTACAGTGCAACACTCTGGGGAACTAAGGATTTTAATTGTATAAGTGCAGTACAGAACCGTGCTTGTAGATTTTTCATTGGCGTTAATAGCAAAACCCCTAATTTGGCAGTAAGGGGTGATATGGGATGGACTAGTACTTTGTCAAAACATAGAACAGAAGTATTACGATTTGGGTTAAGTTGCACCGTATGGCACCTGATAGATTGCCTTCTGTTATTAGCAGCTGGTCACGGCGTTTAGCCAAATCATGGGATAACACAGTGTCATCTTTATTACAATCGTTGCAACTCCCAGTGCAAGACCTGTTACACATGTCTAGTAGTGAATTGACTTTGTCATTCCAACATATATAGTTGTTAGATCATCAGGAGTGGCTACGGGAATGGGGAATGACCAGGGTAATCCCAACGGTAATAAGCTACGCACATATAGACAGTTTAAGTACACTGTTACTCCAGAACCATACATAACTGCTATACTGCCCAGATGGCACCGTAGCGTTCTAGGTAAACTTCGCTGTGGTACACTTCCATTAGAAATAGAACGTGGTAGATTTTCTCGTCCTGCGACGCAACTTGCAGACAGGCTTTGTCGTCACTGTAGTAGTCAGGCTGTCGAAGACGAAGTCCATTTCTTAGTTAGCTGTCCTTATTATTCTGATCTTAGGTATGATTTGTTTAGAAAATCTAGTATCTTACACCCACATTTTGCTCAGTTATCAAACACCGAACAAGCTACATTCCTCTTACAAACAGAAATTATTGTTAATCCACTGGCCCCTTTAGTTAGCCGTATGTATCGGCGTAAGCTATGATCCCTATAAAGTTTCCCGCTTTTCCCTTAGGTCTTTCATATGTGTGATACTCCTGAATGTTTTAATCTTATATTTTATACATTTTATGCACATTTTGTCTAGTGTGTCTCATTGGCCATCTGGCCTGGTGTCTGTATTTTTCTATGTCTTTTTACCGTTGCCATGTTTGTCAT